GGGGGGGGTGCGCTGACTGCGGGCGGGGCTTAGGTGTCTGCGGTGTGTGGAAGCCGGCAGCTCTGCTGGTGTGCGTCTGGCGACATTGGCTCACTTGAAGTTTGACGATCTCCTCGCTGGGGCCGAGGAATAGGGGGTGGGGGTTGAATAGTTTTCTTATTAATTACAAGAAGTGATTTTTAATGTTGTTTTGCGAGCATTGTTTTCTAGCTTGCGATTGTGGTGCTTGCTGAACACAGTTTATGCCTGTGCCGGCGAACGGCGATACCTTCGGGATTCACCATGAACGACGAGTCTTGAACCAATTTCCCGCAGCACACCTGATGATCTTGCAACCGAAGTTGCTGCGAATCACTGATTCGCGCGCGGGGACAGTGCCGCGGTTGAGTTGTATTGCGCGCGGACGCTCATTGGCACCTGCTGCTCGGGCGATAATCTCATCTGAGCGCCAGCAGGCGATCGCCAACGTTACCACCCCGCCGGCGCGCTCATCACCGGCAGCCGCACGGCCAAATTGACCCCGAGTCAATTGAACGGAAGCAAGTAGGCGGAAAATTCATCTCACCGTTTGTACTTGGACTGCATGAGAAAGTCCCCGCTGGAAGACACGTTCAAGGACGGAAAGTTCTTTATCCAAAATTGCATAAATCATTCTGAATAAGGTGCTCATCTCCTCGGGAAGCTCAGGCTGAACTCCATCCTTTTGCCCTCTGCACAACCTCAATGTGACTGGGGGGGGGGGCGGATTTTCCGCAAACTCAGCGACTCCTCTTATTTCCAAACGGAACTTTTATCTCACAACATGCATCCCAAAGATGTCCCATACATTAAAAAAAAAGGAATCCCCGTCCGTCACTTTCTGTAGGCATAAAAGGCAGGATGTTAGAGGCCCGAGACGTTCAATCATCTCTTCAGAATAAATGAGCCTGAGCTTGAGACACTTCCTCTATTCTCTACTGCTCTCAAAAATGGAGATAGTTAAATGCAATCATGTGGTGCCATCTAGCAGGCAAAAGTGGAATTACATCACCCGAAAAAGAAAAATTGAGTTGTAACTGGTCAAAAGTACCGATACCAGTGCCTCCCTCAGCATTGTACTATCTACATTTTGTTTTCCGTATAATGTTCTCTCTGCATTGCGTGCCGCTTCTGTACCCCGTGTCACACAACCAAGACACTTCCTGTTCCGTCAATGATGTTGTTCCATTTAATTTGTCGCCTGGTGCTCTCCTGAGTGCTGCCGTGCAACCGTTTAATGGTTGAGTCCGCACGGGGTGTTTTGCGCATCATGTTCTCATTGCCATCTTTTGCACACAGTGTCATCCTCTGTCGCCGCGGCAACGGTGTACGTTCACCGTACGATGTCCTCTTTGACCCTCCTCTCCTTTGCAGTCGTCGTTTACATCGGCTACTTTGTTTGGAATCAACGCGGCGCTCGCTGACCTACTTCTTATTGACTGAATGGTAGATAAACGCGTGGGCGTCATTGATGCTTTTCCGTGTGAGGGAATGCGAGAAACGCCGCCAGAAGTGCTCATCTACATTTACAACCTCTATTCTGATATTTGGTCATTTATTCGAAAGAAGCTATTTTCTTCAAATAGGAGCTTTTTTTTTTTTAAATTTCTTGGCTGCACTGCTTCCAATGCATCGATGCAGATGTTATCTTCCTTCGTCCAATCAGATTTCAGACTGTGTGTCGCTATGTAGATGTACGGGGCCCACGGAAACGGAAACTTTATTCGCAATATCATGGTTTCGTTAAGCACTCGCATTTTAAATTTGACTTTTGACGACGTTCTGCAATCCCTTCTAATCCCTCCTCTTTCCGTTCTGTCTCTTCTGCAGAGTCTGGGAACGCCGAGTAGATACGACTCCAAAAAGAAGTAAGTCTGAACTTTGTGGCGTGGCACTTTCTTCTTTGGGACAGGTCGGCTTCGTCCAATCGGGGTGAGCCCATCCCAGCTGATTTGGTCCGAGAGGTGGACTGGACTGGACTGGTTGCCGGTCAGTGTCAGGACACGGATGCGCAAACATTCACGCCTATGAACAATGTCAGGTTAATCCGACATAGGCGAGGTAAAAATCAATGAAATAATCTGCAAATGTGGCTACGACTCACAATTAGGCACTAATTTAATGAAATTGGAACTAGTTTTAGGACCAAAAAGCGCAAAATGAATGCAGCAAATACCCGAGGGCATGAAAATGTTTGGGAAGGAAACGTAGCTTGCCGTGTTTTGGCCAACGGACCACATGTTGTGCCTGTGTCCCTAATGAAGTGTCCCTTGCGCCTAGAAGTACGTTCGGGAGGCAAACTCGATGACACGGCAGATCAAATGAGTCGCAATGTCGTCGTCGCTCGGGGCTGAGTGCCCGTATTGACGGCACGAGGACGTGATTTCAAGTAACAGTTTGCCTTTTTTTTCTTTTTTTTTTTTCCCCTTTCTCCCCCCTAAACGCCGCTTGACAATTGCTCTCATTGGCAGCTACACTCCATGATCCTCACAATACACACGGGGGGGGCCCAAGGTAGCCATTAAGTCTAATATCGCCTCTGGCTACTTGTTGCCATGGCGATGCATGGAACGCAAGGTACAGCGCTGGAGTGCTGTAGTGTTTGCGCGAATGCGGCGAACTATGGCTTTGTTCCTTTTTTTTTTTTTTCCTTCCATGTCTGTTGCGGCTTTGCGACTTCGTCATTTTCAAAGCATCCGCTCTGACTTGGATAACAAATACATTCAGCTCACTTCAACGGAACAAAATCGTCCTTTCAGACAAAAGTGTCTGACAGTCTTGGTGCGAGCGTTTCGGATTACGGACACGGTCGTGAGCTTTCGGGAGCTGGGGGGTCATTAGCGGTCATTATTAGAACACGCAGAGCGACTGCAGCTTCTCTCGGATGGCCCCGAGTGCCAGTCGCCGCGGCGCTGTGACATTTGGGTCGGTGTCGGAGCCGTGCGACACCCGGGGAGGCGCTAATGCCACCTTCTTTGATTGATGCGAGTCATTTCCTCGCTGTTGCATGCTCCCAAAAGTGCTGCTTCAAAAACCTCCCACTCGCCTGCGCATGCACGCGCACACACACACACACACACACACACACACACACACACACACACACACACACTGTCCATTAAAGTTTGGTCTACTTGGGCTTTACTGCAGAATCGTGACTTGTTGGCCGCATAACAGGTTTCGGTAACGAGTACCGAGAAGACTGTAATTTGTCTGTCGTTGTTTCCCTGCTACTTCGCGCTCAATCGTTAGCGTCCCCGCTAAAATTTCAGACCCTGATAGAGTTGAAACATGTTTCTTGATGAATCAGTTCCGGAAAGTCTGACTACTTTGATGATATAAAATATTCGATTTTATTTTTTTACATAGATAAAGTGGCATTTTCAGCACGTTTCTGAATTTTTATGTATTTTTTAAAAATATTGCTGTTGAAATGTGTTAGTTAACCTCCCGCCCCTCCCTAGCACCCCCCTCCATGGTGTGCATTTACCTGTCGCTTTCAATGGGAGTCATGGAAACAGCGCAGCCAATCGGCCGCCGCCACTCGCTCTTCATGTCCTCAGCGGAGGAGGCGGGAAGCTGCCGCCCGCATTGTTTGCATTGTTGGCGTCCGCCGGTACTTTGGAGTCGCCAAGCGTCAACACAAACACGGCAGCACGGTAGCACGTCATCGGCGTTGCAAAATTACGGACCGTTTTTAAAGTTGGCCACTTTCCACGGGAAGACATCGGGACTGGGCAAAACCGAAAATTGGTTCTTAAAAGGAGACGTTTGAAGTGTTATCTCCCCACAAAATTTCAATGTCACCTTGTGCGCTTTCAAGATCTGCAAAAATGTCCAGAAAAGTGTGACGTTTGAGACAGATTTTGTGCCGTCATAAAAACAACAAATCCATTCAAGAAAAATAAATAAATAAATAAATTACGAGCGCCATTTTCAATGTTTTGTGCTAGTTATTGGATCAAATACAATCATACTTTTTTTCTATTTTATCTCGTGTTATCTAGGTTAGAGTAAAATAACGAATCCACAGGTTTAAACAATGTCAGTGGACCTTTGCACACTCGTCACATTCAGCATCTGCAGTTTCATCTATTCGGTCACTTTTTGAACACTTTATTAATTTATTTTTTTGAGGTTTGAAAAATAAATATGCTGCTATCTACCGCAATGAACATTGCGCGTGCGTGCATTTGATTGCAAGACTGCAAAGTAGCCTGGTGCGGGCATGAAATCGTGTCCGGCGCTTTTAATTAGCGTCGATGAAGAAGTGGATGAAAGCGCGTGGGCGTCCACTTGAATGAAGCCGTTTATTACGCTCACAAGACAAAACAACATGTTTATTGCCATCAAAGGAGAGAGCGAGGGAGGGGAAGCTGCACTTTTGCACTGTCCAACATGCCAGCTAGTTTGGCGGGAAGCAAGATGAGGAGTGGGCCCCTCTCACCTACAACCTGCATATCTTCACTATACGACACACCAATGTGGTGTGTGTGTGTGTGTGTGTGTGTGTGTGTGTGTGTGTGTGTGTGTGTGTGTGTGTGTGTGTGCGCAGACTGACAAAAACGAAACGCGCAGGCATATATTTGTTATCCTCTGCAAAGAATAGCTAATATTAGTGCCGTACCGAGGAGGCCTGCAGCTGTTTATTTAATGGGAACGACAGTCAAACAACAGCCTCACAGTCAAACTCACTAGGCCACACCCCTGAAAGGGCCGCATCTCATTAATTCTACACTCTGTCAAGTATGCAGTGCTATTTTTCCACCAATATTAGCGACACTTCAACTCATGCCATTGGTGGAAATTGATGTGACATACTTCAGATCACCAAAGTGTTAGCGATGCGTTTGATTGGCATCATGTCGGAATGACATTTAGCCTCATTGTCTGTCCTGAGGTGAATTTTGAGAGCTGGCCTCACATTTTTCCTGTCAGATTTTTGATTTTTATTTTTTTTTGGTCCTCCGGGCGTGCTTCATCTTCCTCTTCACGATCCGACTGTGCATTTCCTCCTCATCTTCACCCCCTCTTTCTCAATTCTTCTCCACCGCTGCCTCGGCCCCTCCTCATTGCACGCTCACACATGCGCGCGCGTGCGTGTGTTATATGAAAGGCGCTCAACTCGTCCAGCCTGTCTTGTCCTCCGCCATCGGTCGCTCACCTGTCGTCGTTTGTACCCGAGCGGCCATGCGCCTGGCCAGAAGGCGTCGGGCGGTGGCGCGCGCAAATGCGCACGCGTCGGGCGGCGAGCGCCACATCTCTGCGGCGTGCCGAGAAGCTCCGGCAGTCAGCTCGGGCGCTTGATGCGCTGTCTTCGAAATTCTCCGCTCGCCTTTCCACTGTGAGTACCAACGCCGCCGCCGCTATTTTGCCACTTGTGAAAATGGTTTTCAAGGAATATTTTTTTGACTTCGAAGATTTTTTTTGAAACAATTTGTGCTCTCTCCAACTTTCATTTCAACAAGTTTGAATCCTTGGTCAAGATTTCCAACCAGATTTTGGTGCAGGGAGTGTGGCCTCGGTTTCCACTCCTTGGGAATGGTCATCTGTCTACCGATACGTTCAGAGGTCAACAGGCGACCAGTCGAGGCCCCCCACCTGTCGCTTACCTGATTTTTGTGCGCGTTGACTCTCCACTCTTGTGAGTGTGAATGGTCATCTTTTACAAGTGCCGTGAATGAAAAGGTTTTCTCCCGTAGACTTTTAGTCATTTCGTTTTGGTGAGGTAAAATAATGAGTAGCAACGATATTGACTGCCGACCAGTCCAGAGTGCAGTCGGCCAGTTCACCTCAAAAGTCAGACGGGAAAGGCTCCGGCCGGCTCAGCTGCATCCTGAGCGCTGGCAAACGTTGGTCGCTCGCCCGTCGACCATTCCGTGCGCTCTTGGCTGCTGCTTTTCCTCTCTCTCGTGCGGCCGTTTTGTCTCCTGACGCTTTGGTCGTTTCATTTCTCGGCAGGTCGGACAGCAAGCTCTCCCGATTGGCTCAGAGGTGGAACCAGCGCGCGGCAGCCGGAGATGCTCTGATCCAGGACCTCCAGTTCTACACGGGACTCCCCTGCGCCTCACGAAGCCTGGACAGGTGACCGCTCCGGCGAAAAATTGATGGATGGGATGCTTTTCATGCGCTGTCGGGCAGAATGGACCAAACGTGTCATTCAGCAGATGAGTTATATTTTTGACTTTGTTCCTTTGTGAAACTTGAAGATATTTTTAGTTTAGCCTCCATGCACAGGGCGATTTAAAAATCCAAACATCACTCAATTGTAGTTCTTCAGAACCAAATAACTAACTAAATACTTGAATTTTTGAAGTGATATTCATGCAGTACATTTTTCAGCAGGTGGGAAGAGTACCTCACGCCAGTTTTTAACTAATAACAATGACACACAGACGGCAGTAGATGGCGACGTTGCACTGCTTTGGGGTTGGCATCAGCATAGCTTTTGAGTAAAAGAGTAAGATTAGGCTGTGACTCTTGGCTGATTATGTGGGAGGGATGTTGGAGATGGGACAACATCGAACGTGTCACGGTAGGGAACAGAAAAGTTTGTGTCATGATTGTGAGGAAACAATACAGTTGATGGAGTGAACGGTATGTAAAAAAAAAAAAAAAAAAACTCGAGCCATGTGGTGAGTCAGCATCCCTCACACTGTGTTTCCTTGTTGCCTATCTGAAAATAATTTGACCCTTTGTTAGTCTTGTTCGTCGTTTTGTAGTTTAAGGTGTCACAAAAGCACAAAATGTCATTCGCAGTTGTGTCGGACATGTTTGTTTTTCCACAAAAAGCTGTTCTCCTCTTTATTGGTCAATAGCCGGTAGATTTTCGTGAGAGCGAGATAACACAGTGAATTTGTCGCATCTGCGTTTCAAAGACTGCGGCGCTGTCAGGCGAGGACGGCCGAGCCGCCGTCTGATGCGCACCAATGCGAGCGCTTTAGTGCGTTAGCTGCTAGTTAAACACGCGCTTCATGTTCCCAGACGAGCCGGCCGCCGGCATCACTGCTGTTGCCACGGTTACCGGCAGCAGCAGCGCTTTCAACCAGACGTGGAGGATCTCGGAGCTTAAGTGAGGCGTCCCATCTCGGCGCCTCGCCCTGACGCCAGAAGCTGACGCGGGGCTTTTGTAGCGGGAAACGTGAACATGGCAAATGGGGGAGCAGCATCAAAGGTTGTCATGGAATCGGTGATTATTCATCTTCTGAGTCATCAATTGGCTTTTTGGAGGACTCGGCATGCTTGGAAAGTCAAAAGTCTCTTTCGGAGAAGCAGTTCCCAGTAATTTGATTCCTGGGACTTGCCGGCCGATTCCACTTAGCGATTCACATAAA